ACTATCATTTCCCCAGCCCCCTGCAGTTTTATCCTTATGAAGTCAATTTCTTTGAAAGTATTTATTCCTATTTGGGAAGGAGTGGAAAGTTAACCTGGTATAAGTCAGTTTCATACATCGTCCTTACATTATTGTAGGTGTTATGGAACTGTACGCTTAAGCTGCATGCTGTGATCTGTTGCTTCTAAGTTACAAGGCTGCATAACATTACTGTATGGAATGCGGTAAGCAGTTATAACACAATGAACATTTGTATATCTAAACAGAAGAGGCACTGTAAAAACGTGTGTCTGTGTAAGGCAGTGTCAATGAATGGGTCTTGCAAGATTAAAAGTTGTGTGTGAGTCATTGATAAGTATGAAAGCTTAGGGTGTGATGGCGTTGGAGCTGTGGTAGGATTGCTGCTATCTGCCAGTTTGCTATCATAGTAACAAGGTGTATCTCATGTAGTTAGATGATCCTAGCACCCATTTGTGAAGAAAACTGGCCATTTTTTTTTTCTTTTGCTATAGTTTTTAGGGACCATTTATTCACAATAATCATGTTTACTTAGGGCACTAGGTAATAGTTCGGTACATTTGTATGTTATATATATTGATTTAACCAGGATTCAGGTATCATCTCATACCTTTAGTTCTTCAAAATCTTTGTTTTGGATTCTGTGAAATAGTAGTAACTACATAGTAATGACCTGTGTAATATAGCACCAACTTATTCTTCTGTTACCTTGTTTCCATTTAACAGTTTCTTCCCATCCTCACCTTCTTCCTCTGCTCCTCCTCCTAGTAACCCACCCACTCTTCTGCTTACTAGGTCTGTGGCTCAGCTAAAAAAGAATTTTTTTAAGTTGTTACTGACTTCTTTAAGAAACTAAAGAATACAATATCCTTGTGTGAGAGAAATTTTTCATTAAGCATACTTTTGTTTTAGACTTAAGGTTGAAAAAAAATCTCTTAGGTTCAGAGCCCATTCTTACCAGGATTACATTGAGATGGAAACAAATTAAAAGATATCTAGAGGAGTCTGATGCAAGCCTGTAATTCCAGCTGCTTAATAGGCTGAAGTAGAATTGCAAATTCAACCCCTATTTGAGCCACAGGAGTCTAAGTAAATTACAAGACTTTGACAGAAAAAAAGTTGGGTAAAGCCAAAATGCCAAACATGATGCTTTGCCTTTAATCCTAGCACTGTTGAGAGGGATACATGATCTGTCTATTTAGCAAGTGTGCCAGGTTAGCCAGAGCAACATAGTGAGACCCTTCAAAAAAAAAAGGAAACAAAGAGCTGGATGTCTCCCACAGAATGCCATTCTACTCTGCGGAAAGTCCTGGGTTCGTAAGGTCCGCATTTGGGAGGTAGACACAAAAGGATCAGAAGTTCAACTCAAGGTTGTTGGATACTTTTTTAGGAAGGCTAGCCTGGGTTTTATGAGTCTGTCTCAAGGAAAAAGAAAAGAAGGGTTGGAAATACAGCTAAGTAATGGAGGGTTTGCCTAGCTTGTAAACAAGGTTCAATCCTACACACACCATTTGTTTTACTTATTAGGCTTAGGGAATTATATGTAATGGTTGGTAAATTTTTACTTTGTATCTTCTATGTTTGTGAAGTAATTCCCTAAAATTGCAGAAGAGCTTTGTCAGAGTAAAAAAAAAAACCCAAAATCATTATTATATTATTATGTTTAGGTGTTCAGCCTGCACATAGTCTGTATTCCACATGCATGCAGTGCCTGTGGAGGCCAGAAGAGGGTACAGGTGCTTTTGAACTGCTGTGGGTGCTGGGAGTCCTTTGGGAGAGCTGCAAGTGATCGCCAGCCCTTTATGTCAGATCTTGAAGCAGAAATAACACAGAACTTTATTTTCCTCGCCTCCCTTTCTCCACTTATCTCAACTGTCACTGTATTATGATGATTGGTCTTGAGCCCTTAGAAAATATTTTGAGGGGTATTTTACTCAGATCCAGGTACATCTGCATTCTTAGTGTCTCAGTGAATGCTTTCAAATTTGTCAAGCTTGCATGGATCAGCTTCATTTATATACTTTTCACGTTTTTTTTTTAATCCCTGAGAGCTTCAATGCTAAATATTCTAATTGTCACAATTTCTTTCTACCCATGTATTATTTATAATAGCATCTTGTATATTTCACAGTTTATAGTCTGTTAGTGTCCAAAGCAGTGTATTTATTCTCTGAGCTTTTCAGTTTTTCCTTAACTGCATAGCGATTGCCTCTCTGCCTTTCTATGCTAGGTAGGTGGTGAGCACTCACCCCTGTGCCAGTCCCATTGAATTCCTTCATCATGAATTACAGAAAAATATATGAAGTCCTTTGAGTAAATTGTAATTTTAAGCACATTTCATTTAAGATTATTTTCGGAGTACTTAGATTAAAAATAGAAGTATAATTGAAATTAAAATACAGTTGTCATTGCTTTTAAAGTAATCTAGTGTTGGAAAAACATGAAACTTTATAGCAAAGACAGATTAATAAATTAGTATTGTTAGGTGAGATGCCCTGGGCTTCTGCAAGAGTATTAAGTTTAGTTGCCGCATAGTTGAGTACTGCTCTGTTGGAGAGTAAAAACCATGTAGGAAATACTGGATAAGTATTTTAATATTTAAAAACTTATTTCTATTTTAGTTGTTCAAATCTATGAAACTTAATAGGCATATAATGATGTTTTTATTTGGCAGAAAGTAGTGCCTGCAACCATTTTACTGCATTGCATTGACTTTAGTGTTCTTGAAAGCAGAACTCAAAGAAGCCTACTTAGTATCTGAAGTTTTCTAACCAAATTGTTCTAGACTGGTAGTTAAGTAGCCATGAAGGACTAGGGAGAGCTTCGTTATATGTAGAAATGTTGCTGCCATTTGTTTTTTCCTCATTTCTTTGATTATCTTGCTGTTTGTGCACTTGATGAATCATTTTAAAGAAAGTTTCATTTTCAAGTAGAATTAAGGTTCATCTACTTTTTCTTGCAAGGATATAATTGCACAAATTTAGGACTCCTCCCCCCAGCAAATTCAACCCTTCCTTACTATTGATATTATTTCTGCTGTATGTAGTGTGCAGCATGCCTTGGAGTAGTGGGTCACTATAAAGGTGGGCACTCTTGCCTCAAATTAGAAGTCATTGCTGGGATCTGAGATCTCAATAATAAACTAACTGGTCATTTCCATAGTGGGAGATACTGCTTTCATTAACTTGGCATTATGTGGGTTGCCAAGAGAAGACATTCACACCTGACTTTGTTGCTTCAGAAAAGTTGGGGCACAGGAAGAGAGGCGTTTATCATTTTTAGACTCATTATGCCTCATGGGAAAGGTATACATAGTTTGGGGTATTATGGTGAAGGGATTTAGTTGTTGTTATCCCCTCTCTCCTTTTTGTAAGCCAGAATATCTTTGGGAAGTAGAGAAGGAATGGTTTACAAAACCTTTACTTTGTAAGTTTATACAATGTGTACGATAGTGTATACCTGGAACCCCAGCACCCAAGTAACTGAAATAGGTGGGAGGACCTGAGATCAAGGCTAGTCTGGGCTACATAATAAAATCCTGACTCAATAAGTAAACACACACACACACACACACTTGCTTGATGGCTGGTTTTTAAAAAGTATGAGTAAAATATGCATATTTGTTTCCCTTCTTTCATTCTTCTATCTGTTCAGTTACTTCTCTTGAGGCAACCTCATGGAAGCCTTTTTTTAAAATAGTTACCACGAGCTTAAAAACCTGTTTACCCTACTCTATAACTCTGTCTTCCTTAACAAGCTGTAGTTCTTTTAATTGCTACATATTATTCCATTTTGATATGTTTCTGTGTTGTTTATTTTCCAGATTTTAAAAACTTTTTTTAAAAAAAGTTTTATATGTATGGGTGTTTTTGCTGAATGTATGACTATTTACCATGTATGCATTCCCAGAGGCCCTGGAGGCCAGAAGAGAGTGTATATTTCCCTGGCACTGGAGTTACAGTCTTGAGCCACCATGTGGGTGCTGGTAATCAACCAAAATCAATCTGGATTCTTTGCAATAACAGACAGTGCAGACCCATCTTTCCAGTCCCTAACTTAGATTTTTTAGAGCGTCCCAGCTATTGTAATTTCATTGTGGTTTAAAAAAAAAAACCAAAAACAAAAAAAACCCTCTAGTTCTGTTTAGTTTTTTGGTTTTTCAAGATAGGGTTTCTCTGTAGTTTTGGAGCCTGTCCTGGAACTAGCTCTTGTAGACCAGGCTGGCCTCGAACTCACAGATCCGCCTGCCTCTGTCTCCTGAGTGCTGGGATTAAAGGTGTGCAGCGGCACCTCCCTGCTCTGTTTAGTTTTTAAGACTTTTTATGGCCTTCCATAGGTCTGTGTTGATATTTGGAGGTGGTGGGGTTTTATTGTTACTTGTTTTAGTTTTTTAGGTGTGTGTGTGTGCACTTGTCCTTGTAGTCCTTTTTGAGGCTGGATCTGAGGCATGTAGCTGAGGTAGTTTTCCCACTTACATTATTGATGTGGATGGCACTGAACTTCTCCCTAGTCTACTCAGCTACCTTATAAAACCCAGGCCCACTGTCCAGGGATGGCACCGCCCACAGTGGGCTGGGTCTCCTGCATCAATTAGTAATCAAGAAAATGCCCTATAGACATGCCTACAAGATAGTCTGATGATGTAATCATCAGCTGAGAGTCCTTCCCAGATGCGTGTAGGTTTGTGTTAGCAACTAACCAGCACAGTAATAAAGTGAGTTTTTGTGGTGGTTTTGTTTCATTATATGATTGGAGAGCACTGCTGGATGGTGACTTAAAGGCAGGCAGGTAGTATGTATTCCTTCACCCCTAATGAGTAAATCAGGCTGTGGTCTTGTATAGTGAAATACTTAAAGTATAGAGATAAGTGACACCATGCAAACTGTATTTAGCAACCTTGATTCTCGGTCAAAAGCAAGTATAGTATTTATTATCAGTAACTATATTTAGTTTTCTTAGTTTTGAAACTTTCTTGTTCACAGCTCTTAGACAAGCACAAGACTATAGAGAGCATGGTGGAGCTTTTGGACTTGTATCAGATGGAGGATGAAGCCTACAGCAGCCTTGCAGAGGCCACGACCGAACTCTACCAGTATTTACTTCAGCCATTCCGAGACATGCGAGAGCTTGCTATGCTGCGAAGACAGCAGATCAAGGTATCTTTTTTTTTTCTTTTTAAAGCATGAACTGTAGTTACTCTAGTTCTGAGACTGGCCGGTCACACATTTTAATTACAAAAAAAGTTTAGAAATAATGCAGATTCTTGGCCTTCTTATCCAAAGTTACTTGTTGGGTCAGTAAGTACACGTATTATTGTACTCTTACTTGCACTTACTTTTGAAAAATACTTAATTGCCAATTACTTTAAAAAGTAAATTTGGAGCTTGGATTAAAGGGTATCAGTAACCTATTAAAATTTACTTCTAAAAAATCAACTGTAGACATTTTTGAGACTCTAACATAAAAGGCAGAAAAGAACTGGACATGGGTGTCCACCAACACTGGACTGCTTGTGGTATTTGTAGACATCACCTGTGGTTCAGCATTGACTATTTAAATTTAGGTTCATTTTCAGAGGTATATTAATAACATTTGTTATAGGCTATTGCCTCTGACACCATCAACCACAACTATTTGATTCTTTGTGCTTCTTATGAATACTTGTACAGATAGGCATATATCCTAGTTATTCACTCTACTTAGTTACTGAGTTCATAGTGTATCAGATGAATGAGTATATTAAATTGAACTATTACACAAATTAAACATGTCCTTGTCCATAGCTAGTAATGGTCACCAATTTAGGTGACTGTAATTTCAAAGAATGTCTTAAAGTTATATTATTTATTATTACTAGTTACTATTAAGTTAGAAAATAACACACATTTTTTTTCTTTTTTTTTGTTTCTTTTTTCTAATAACACACATTTTAAAAAAGGAATTATAATTGGTTTGGCAAAGTATTTGTTGTAAGTACAACTCAAAACAATTGCTTGTTACCTATGAATGTGATGTAGTTTAGTTAGCAGCATTTCTTTTGCTGTGATAAAACACCATGGCCAAAGACAACTTGAAAGTTTTCAGCTTAAATTTCCCCATCACAGGCCATCACTGAGGGAAGTCAGAATAAAAATAGAACAATAGGACAGGAACCTGGAGGCAGGAGCTGATGCAGAGGCCATGGAGGAGTTGCTGTATACTAGCTTGCTCAACCTGCTTTCCAGTAGAACCCAGGACCATCACCCTAGGGATGGCACTGCCTACGGTGAGCTGTGTCCTCCCATTCCAATCTCAGTCAAGAATGCACCAGAGGGCTTCCCACAGGATAATCCAGTAGAGCGCATTTTCTCATTGAGGTTCCTTCTTTCAAAATAACTGGCTTTGTATCAAGTTGACATAAAACTAACCAGCACAATAATTGAGACTTGTATTTGGATTATAGTCAAGCTAGCTATATCAATAAAATTTTAAAACCCCTCTTTACATTTTTGTTTTTTGCAGTGGTTAAATTGAACCTAAGGATTTATGTTTTAGACAGCCTCTTTACCACCCTAGTTCCTAGAAATTATTTTATCTTAGTTTATGAAGATAAATTAGTACCTAAAATAAAGGTAGAAACATGTTTCACAGTGTATATTATGTGTAGAGATAATTATCACTTGAAAAATCTTGAAGTAGGGAAAGTAGCAGAATGTATACTTACGATTTTGCTATTACTAATGCTGAAATTTATTCTCCAGCTACATTTTCTTATGTATTGTATCAGATTTTTTTTTAATATTTATTTATTATGTATACAATATTCTGTCTGCATGTATGCCTGAAGGCCAGAAGAGGGCACCAGACCTCATTACAGATGGTTGTGAGCCACCATGTGGTTGCTAGGAATTGAACTCAGGACCTTTGGAAAAGCAGGCAATGCTCTTAACCGCTGAGCCATCTCTCCAGCCCTGTATTGTATCAGATTTGTATTGAGTTGATAGTATTATAAATGCATTTTCTAACTTAGCTGGTAGTCTGCAGAGATTTTTGGTTAGTCCAGTCTGTATTGCTTCTGTTCCCGTGATCCCAAAGGATTGCCTTGTAGGACCTTCTTCCACTTTAGATGGACTCATTAATGTCTCTGGCAGAACTGATTTCTCTGCAAGCTTGACAAGACATCAGGTGTGAAACTAAAGCTCAAGAATATTTATGACATTATGACATTAAGTATTTGTTAGAGAGGTCTAAAATAACCATTGAAGGTACTCTCTGAGGACACTCAAAAAAAAGTGGTAGAGTTAAGGCATAAAACAAAATAAATTGAAAAAGATTGAGAATAAGTAGGAAACAAACAAAACTTAGACAAAAAACAAGTGAAACCTAACCCTGGTTACATGAAAAATATGTATTTTACAATTCATCTAAATGACTTTTTTTTTTTTTAAAAGAAAGTAGTGTTTGTGTGGAAATTGTTTTGTTTTATTTTATAACAGGGTCTCTCTTTTTATAATCCTGTCAATCCTTCAGCTCACTATGTAGACCAGGCATGAACTCAGAGATTTTTCTGCCTCTTTTCTCTTGAGCACTGGGACTAGAGGGGTGTGCCACTGTAACATGAATTCTAGTTGGTCTTAATAAAATCTCAGTGTCAGATATAGGGATTAATGCTGAGAAGCAGATTGACCAGCCACTAGAAGGACCTCCCCTCTCCCATCCCTAGGGTTTCTCTGTAGCTTTGGAGCCTGTCCAGGAACTAGCTCTTGTAGACCAGACTGGCCTCCAACTTACAGAGATTTGCCCACCTCTGCCCTCCCGAGTGCTGGGATGAGACCTTTTACTCTACCAATGCTCAGACTGAAGGGGCCATTCTGTCCTCAGACTTTTTCCTCAGACTGCAGCTGTCTCAAACATGAAACTGAATCTGAGTTCCTGTCTCTTAGCCTTTGTATTCTTTCTCCACCCAGCCATATCGTTCCTGTCTCCACCTCCCTAGTGCTGGGGTTAAAGGCGTGTGACCCCAAGTGCTAGGATCACCTTTGTGTGAGCTCTGTTTCTATTTTAGACAGACTCAATCTTGTGTAGTCCAGGGTGGCTTTGAACTAACAGATCCCTCTATCTCTAGTCCTGGGATTAAAGATGTGTGCCACCACTCTCTGGCCTGTAGTGGCTTAGCTCTACATTCTTATCTTCAAGCAAGCTTTATTTGTCAAAATATCATTACATGTCACCATTCCCAGCTTCCATTTCCATCTTTTCACTCCTTTTACTCAGTAGTATTCCAGAGATCTAACCAGTCCAAAAAGTCTGTAAAATATTATGTAAAGGTATAATACAAAGAAGTATAATAAAAATACAAAAAAAGAAATAATACATAAATTGGAAAAACTGAAATAAGGCCCATTATTTTTAGGAAGATCACGTAGAAAATTCTAAGGACTCAAAAGAGCTGTTAGGAAGAATATGTAAGTTTAATGTGTACAGTCATTATGAAAGATTTGGTTGTATATTGTCTTCTAGATATGAACAACTGAAAATTGAAAATTTTTATAATGCTACTTACTTTAACAGTTCTTGTACACCAAACTTTCAGTAACACAATTCTTACTTAAAGTAATGCTGAGGTCACTGTAGTAGAGTAACTGTCTTACTGTGCCTATTGCCCTGGGATGCAGTTCCCAGCAGCACAGGACAAATAAATCCCAAAATTTGGCAGAAACTATAGAGCACCTAACTTGAGAGGTATTGCACATTAATAGGTTGAAAGACTCAGTAATAATTATAGTATGTCAGTATACTGGTCTGTTCTGTTACTACAACAAAGTGACCAAGGTAGGCTGCTTGTAATAACAAGGGAAGATAGTCTGAGTCATGGTGCAGGCTCTGGCGAGGCCTTCATTAAACCCCCTTTTGGTGGTCGCAGTAATAGGAGTGGAAGTATGAGCATAAGATCATGCAGTCATCCAGTCCACAGTCCCTTCTGAGGGTGCAATAAGCTGAACTGAGAGCTTCTTACCAGGCCCCTCGCCATCACTACCATCATGGGGAACAAGTTTGGGAATTAGACATAGACTACAGCAGTAAGATCTCATTTCATCGATATATCGAAGTAAATCAATTTAGCAGTGCCTTTATAGATTTAGTATTTAACCTAACAAACTATTTTCATATACAATAGTGTTTTGTTTTATTTATACACATACAAGGGCTAAATTGGTCATGGTGGTGCACACTCTTTGATCCCAGCACTCAGGAAACAGAGACAGGCAGATCTCTGTGTGTTTGAGGCCAGCCTGGTCTACAAGTTAAATAGAGAAACCCTGTCTCAATACACTCTCTCCCCTGCCTTCCCAAAATAGTAGAAGGGCTAAATTTAACTACTTATCATCTTACATACTTTACCAAATTTTGGTGAGAACACTTAAGATCTGCTGTTCTGTTTTAAAAGAATATTACATATTGATAAGTATGTTTTACTATGTTGTAACAGATCTCTTTAGTAGTCTTCCTAAATAAAATTTTGTACCCTTTAACATAAAACCTTCTCTAAGCCCCAAATCCCTCCCTTCTACATGAGTTAGTGAATACCATTCTACTCTTTGTTAAAGGCTGAATGACATTTTTTTTTCTCCCGAGACAGGGTTTCTCTGTGTATCTCCAGCTGTCCTGGAACTCACTTTGTAGACCAGGCTGGCTTTTAACACAAAGAGATTCGCTTGCCTCTGCCTCCCTGAGTACTGGGATTAAAGGCGTGTGCCACCATTGCCCGGCTAAATGACATTTTTATGTGTTTGTGTGTGTGTGTGTGTGTGTGCGCATATATATATATATCTATATTCATACTTGTTCATGTTTTCTTTGTCCATTCATCTGTTGATGGACACACACATTCATTTCATCTCTTTATTTTTGTGAGCAATGCTGAAGTTAACGTTGGAACCTCCTATCTCAGACATTAAGTCCTGAATCATATACCTAGAAGTAGGACTGGAAGAATGTGTGGTCTGTTTTTAATTGTCTGAGGTGCTGCCAAAGTAGTTCCTACCAACAGTGTGCAAAACCTTCTCTCTTTGTCTCCTTCCCAATATTTGTAATTTTTTATCTTTTAATAATACCCCTTTAAATAGGAGTGAGATCATACCTCATTATGGGTTTGACTTAATTTCTCTGATTAGTG